AGCTGCAGCTTGAGCCTGATTTGCTCCTTGATTTTGCCCTTGCAATATGTACTCCAGTTCTTTTTGCGCTGTATAGTCTGCAACAATGCGCTTTCGCAGCAGTTTTGTTTGTCCCACTTCATCATGTCCTGCTTCATCATGTCCTGCTTCATCATGTCCTGCTTCATCATGTCCTGCTTCATCATGTCCTGCTTCATCATGTCCTGCTTCATCATGTCCTGCTTCATCATGTCCTAAGATTTGAAGCACATGTAACAGGAAAGCATATCCCGTTTCGTTGTCATGGTCAATGTTTTCTAGCACAGTGTTAAGGCTGTTCTCACCACAGTTGTGGAGAAGTTGCATTGCATCATTGTGGTCCTTATGTCCCACTTGATTGTTTACCCAGTTTTCATCATCATGAAGGGGCAACTCGTTATCTACAGCTTGTAGCTGAGGTATGCGTTTGTTCCATTTTGCTGTGACAAACATACCTAATTCATTGTTCCAGTCAGTTTGTGAACCGATAATGCGTTGCTTTGTTGTTGCCCACTCTTGTAGATGCTGTTGCACATTCTGCCATTCTGTCTCCCATGCATTAAAGTTTTCTTTAATAGAAATAAGTCGTACTATTTCTATCCAATCCTGCCCCCTCATTGCTCTCAGATTAATGTGTTCGTGCTGGTCCAAGTTGTTTAATTCTATGTGGATCGCTTGTTCATAAGCCAGTCTGATGTACAGGTGGGCAAATCGAATGTTGAATGTCACGTCGATGTGTTTGCCTAAAAATTCTAAGATTTTGCTTGAACAAGAATCACATGGAGAGTAATTTCCATACAGAGTGAATTCTTTTTGATCATCATTCATTGCTTCTTCCAACTCCTCTAGAAATTTTGCCTCGGCATGTTCGTTACCTGTTTTGCGATAAATTTTACATTCATCACCTACTTTGACTATCAAACGGGCATCATTTTTGGGCCAAATGCAGCCCAAGGGGCAAGAGCTTATGAAGAAGTCATAAATTATCTCTCTGTTTCCTTTTACCAGATCATCCATTTTTGTCTTTTTTCTTGTGGCAATTTGTTTGCTGTGCAACTCAAGCAGTGTCTGGAAACAGAAAGGAAATTTGCATAAAATTACATGTTTATATCCTTTCAGTAGAGTACACAGTGAAAAACATTTTATCACTATTAAGTTTTCAAAGTAAAACCCCTAGAAAACAGGTCTGAAAATGTTGGGAATTTGTATAATATAAAAGCCAAACAGAATAAATCAGAATGTTTTACAATTACAACTGTCAGAGATTTGGTATTTGTATTTTTGTTTGACATTTGGAAAATTTTCAAGAAAGGACCCAGGTTCAATCAAATTTGAAGTCAAATATGAACCACAGGAATAATATATACAAGGTAATGGCTGCAGCAAAAAAGGGTTTTCCATTGTATTCACTTTTCTTTCTCATATAAATGGAAAACAATAAAGGAAAATATGAATTTGGTCATCTGAAAAGATAAGTCATTGAAAACAGGCAGTGGGCCACCCCATGGGAATAATTTCACAAATAGTATCCAAATGTATTTGCAGACTGATTCAACCCCCACCGGAAAAGTATTGGAAGTGACATCATGATGATTACTTGAACTTCAATTTGCAATTTTCAGAATCCGATATTTATGAAACTGCGTATTTGTTTAGGCTTGAACTTTACCTTTGGACAGATTGGGATATTTTCATTTTCAAAAATTTAAGCTGTGTCTCATGATAGCATTTATTCAGTTCAGCAAGTCTACTTGCATACTTTTAATAATAAGACCAACCAAAGTCTTTATCCAGCACAATTACAAACACAAATGGTGTCTTCAGTCACACGAGTGGTGATTAAGTTTTTGACACAAAGGCAGAAGTGCAGTGGCAGTTGCATAAGGTTTGTAACAATGGAGAACAGGAATGCAAGGAAATCTTTTGAAGTAATAAAGACATATTCTTGATTGGAATATCGTCCAATGGACAGTGAAGTGTTTACCTTTTAGTACAGTTGATGGGAATTGGGGGTGATTCTTGATGTGGTGGTGACCAAAATGTGGTTCGGTGAAGTGTTTTCTCTCTTCAAGAAAAAATAGTGAGAAAGCAAAGTGAATCTGCTTCTAATTCAAGAAATAAAGTTCACAAGTTTAATGCTGAAAATTTCAACTGAGAAAGTAATTTGTGTAGTGACGTTGAAATATTGTAGACAAATCGTTGGCATTAAAAGCCCTTTTGACAGTGTGACAAATGTTAACATGAACAAAGTCCATACACTAGTTAAAAGTTGGCTCATTCTTGCAGCATTGTGAATGCTTCAAGTTCATTTCGAATTCGAACTCGGCACTCTTCCCAAAATGTGTATCCTTGTAGAGACATGGCTTTGTTCTCCAGTGCTAATTCGGCCGCGTGTGAAATGATGTTTTCAAAATGCTTCCATTTCAACACGAATCACTCTCCTGGACTGAAATTTTGACCGAATGTCCTTTATATGAAACACTTCAATTTGCGACAGATTATTACGCATTAAAAATTTCTCCTTTTGAGCAATTTCCAAATATCAGTTTCGTAAAGTCCTTGTGGAGACCTATTCACCTTTAGAAATTCCTTGTGTAGACCTATTTAACCCATTCTTCAGGGTCTCCACAAGGCACCATATTGCAGCACATCTTCAGTCATAAGTGTGAGTAATATAGTAAAGGTGCCTTTTTTGGTTTTACATGTCTATGCCATTTCCACATTCTGCAGGAACATCATGAGCAACATCAAATTAACGTTTGTTGATAGGAATAATACTCTTTCTCAGTTTTTCTTTTAAAAGTTTCAACATCGTGCTTAGCTTTGAATGTATTGCCTCACCACAGGAGAGATTTAAAGTAACAAGATTCAGAGTACTTACCTTTCTCTCCAGGAATGAGCAACAAGTGTGTAACAGCAGACCAAATTGTCTGTTCAGGGCTGCAAGAACAAAAGGAACGTCAGATTCCCACTTTACGTCTTAGGTAGTGTTGCCTGTATCTGTATGGTGTATCTATCCTCATGGGCCTCAATTGATGATTCATATTTCAGGTGAAATTGTTTGCTAAATGAAATAATTTTGGCAAACCATTTGCTAAAAAATAAAATTTGTTAAAGTTATCTGAAACTGCCTCAGATTGCATGGCAAAATGCAGAATCAAACATTCCCCTGGGCCCAAAAGTGGGCCCTGGATCCCACAATGTAATGGCTTTGTGTTTATGTTATAATAAGTGTCGTGTCCTCCTACTTTTGACGCCCATGTGTCCGACACTTAGTTGAATCTTGCACACATTAAAATGAAACAATCACTGTGCATCTGTATTTAATCAAGGCAGTGCTCTTGCCAGTCAAAACTAAAAGAGTGTACAAAATAAACTGTTTAATGAGGCATTCCTTGTACACAGGTTTATCAGTTTAAATTAAGTTCTGAGTTTTCCTCAAGCGTTCTGAAGACAGATGCTTAAACTGTCCTCCCTATAGCGCACAAAATCGACCCGCCTTAAATGCATAGAAATGAGCTTCTTGTTCCATGCCTGCCCTCGTGATTTGAAACCCAACAGTGAGACAGTTCAAGAGACTAACACTTTAGATCATGTCATGTGTTCAAAGACTCATCAACAGCATGTACATGTATAGGATATCGCCTATCGCACAGTTCTTGTGACGATGAAATTGTTTAATAGTAGTGTATTTAAAGAAATGCAATAAAAGGCCAGGGAATTAAAAAATGCCAGTGCCTTTGAAAGGTGAGGAACAGCAGGAAACCCAAAACTGTTTATATACTTTGACGAAGCCCAAATTTGAGTTCCCTGAACCAGAAGGGGATTCACACACCCTGTAAGTTATAATACATTAGTGCTATGTTTCCACTGGTAGTGCTGTGATTGGCCATGCTTTCCAGTGATGTCATAGTGGGCGTGATTTGCAGCGTGGGTGGTTTTCAAGTGGAACATTTTGTCTAGACATGTCATTGTGCAGCCAATTTCAAAAGCTGTGCTTTCCATTGCAACATCAGCCCATTTGTCGTATCATTTCCTTGTTAGGTGTCAGGTTTCTTTTTTATTCTTACGTTGATATACCAGTCTTGAAATTTGGAATATTTTTGTCAGATATTGCAGGTTATGATGACAGTACTAGTGCTTGTTTTACAAGGACAAAAGTTTGAGTGGAGAAAAGACAAAACATGTATTTTTTATTTGTGACTAATATTGCTACACTTGAAACACTCAACAATTATTCCTCAACTATTCATTGAGAAAAACCCTGAAAATTTTTATAGGACTACTAATAGGCGTGAATGTTGTAAAAACAGTTCCTCCCTGTGGTAACACCTCCCCTACCCCTTCCCTGGAAAGTTTGGAGGTTTTATTGGGTGGGGAGGGAAGTGAAGTGTCACCTGTTCTGTGTTGATAGGCACTTACATGTGCAATATAATAGACCTATGGTTTAATAAGGTTCTTAAAAAAGCCATCCAATGTACGAACTCAGTGGTGTAACCCTGGGGTGGGGGACCGACTTCTGTTAATGTGTCCCCCTTCCCACTTGCTGACCTTGTGGTTATGCTACTGAAACACGGGAATGTGTAAAAAAAAATCATGATGAGTAACTTTCCAGAATTTTTGGAATAAGGGAATGACCATGTGCTTGGACAATGAAGACCGGCCACCAACCAACAAGCACACATTTATTCCCATTCATACATGTACATACATTTTTAGCCTGAGTCAAAAGAAGTCAACATAAGATGGATTTCCATCTTCCTTCCTTTCCTAAGAGCCCATCCATTTTATGGAATATTCCTTGTGCAAATTGTCCACACACTCTTGACCAATCAGAATCAATTAATCTGTCTTGTATCCAGGTGCCAGTGTGTAAATTACGCAGCAGGCATTATCACTTCTCTGTGGGCATTATCAATACATGGTCAAGTTGCACTTCGGCTTGCGAGAATGTCTGAGGTATTTATGAATCGCTGTTTGTGGTATTGTCTCTCAGGCACTCCATACACGTACTCATTATGTATTATGACACCATAGGTCACAGCTTGACCTCTCTGTGAGTTGAGATATTACAATCACTGTGAACCCAGATCTGCGTGCTTGTCTGTCAATCTACACAACGAACACTACACTGTTTCATCCTGTTCTACAGCTGCATGACGTTAGTAATACATTGTGTATAAGTATAGAGCTGTTCTTTAGGAGAGGTAGAGCACATTAGTTCACTCTGGACTAATGAAACATAAACTATAACGAATGCCGCGAGCCATCAACGTAAGTGCATGGTAGAAGAAAATCATGCCAAA